GTGATTCCTGGTTGAATGCTTAGAGTCGAGAGGGTAATATAGGGTCGTCGGTCACTGGGTTTTCCAGCCTTGCGAAGAATAACTCTGCAGGTGACGTCTGCTAGTGAATGGCTGACTTGGTTTAATAGTGGCCGTCTTTAGTTATCATATAGTCTTTTAGTTGACGAATCGCTTCCGCAAATGGTAGTAAAAATGTATTTGTTGGCAAGTTGGTTTAAACTTAGGTGGCCCCTAAAAGAACCGATGAGATTGATGGTTAAGTAGGGAACGTAAATGCTTACATTGGCCCTGAAAAGGGCCATTGATAAAATTTCCAGTCATTCCTTATTATTATTTTTGGTGATGGAGAGCCAGCTGCGGTTAGCTTGACTCTTACCCTCGGAGTCTCTGTGGACGGAGCTCCAACCGCTCATCGTTAGGTGGGAAAATGTGGGGATGCCGTTAAGGACACGACCACTGAGAAGGAAGCCGTTATGGCTGCCCATGCCCCTCAGTGCTGTTTTCCCTGGCTTACATTTGTAGTATAAAATTCTTTGACGGCACCAGGCCAGATTGTGGTACAGCCATATAACTTAGAAGGGTTAGAGCAGGATATGCTCTGGCTAGACACGTGTCCGGGTATTCCACCGGAGACGTCATCGGTTATACTACATTTTTTATGGGTGGCAATCGTCAATCCTGGAGGTTCAGGATAGTAGGCCGACATTACTTACTCATTGGAGAAGAGCGTCATCGGTAACCGGGATACCCAGCTGCACGACGATCATCTACATTCTCGATGCAGCTCGATGAATTGCGAGTAGACGATTGCATGAATTTCCGCGACGCTCCGGCCTGTTATAACCACACTTATTCAATTCTGTTGCAGGTAGCTTCGATTTTATGCCTGACAAAATAAGTCAGTGATTTGAGCGTGTATTATGTTAGTGTACAGTAATAAGTTTTGTTTGATGTTGTCATGTATACTACGAAATTGAAAGAAATAAAAACATGGATTGCGACTGTGATAACATAGCATATATGAGTGCATATACATGCTTGTACTTGTGTGGAGCTTGAAAAACACAAGTACTGCTTACATTTATCAATTTCTCACAACATAGTGTTCAATGAACGTAAATATTAATGACAGGTTAGGTTAAATTTTACACATTTATATTATGTTTCCGTGGATTACTTGTGTACCGTTAAGCTTTGCACAAGTGTACGCATGTATATGCACTCAAATATGCTATGTTATCACAGTCGCAATCCATGTTTTATTTCTTTCAATCTTGTAGTACACATGAAAGCACCAAACAAAATTTATTACTGTACACTAACATAATACACACTCAAATCACTGATTCATTTCGTCAATCTACTCTTAACAATCTTTTTTTAAAGTTATTAAAACACTAGCAGTCCCCCGTCTCGGCTTCGCCCGTGACTTACTAAACGGAACACCGTAGTGTGTTGACATGTAATGAGACACTTTTTCAGTCAGAAATTTTACGTTTATTCCTGGCACTTTTTAGAACAAAAATCTGCTTACTAAAAACATATATGTGCGCAATCCATACAGTTTATTTGGCTGTAAAAATTAAAAAAACATAATTATGCTGAAAAGTACCGTGCGTTCCTTATACCATAAAATAATCGTTGGCCATGAGGAGCAGTTAATTTGCAGTTTCTCCCGTGAAATTAACGAAAAGGGCCATCTTTTAAAGATGTTAGGATTTTAAACTCCCAAAAACATATTAAAAAAAATGTTTTTTCCCTTATCTCACAACTTTATTACCA